GTCAGTATCAAAAGTTACATATATTTCACTTATATAACATTCTTCAGATGACAATTATAAAGTAGCAGAACAGGGATTAAGGTTGGGAGGAAGTGGGAAGTAAGATGAATCTGCCTATAAAAGGTTAGCACAAGAGATCTTGACAATGGAATAGCTCCGTATTTTGCTACACAAATCTACCCAGGTAATAAAATTGTATAGCGCTAAACACATCCTTATACAAATGAGCTTTTATGTACATAAAAACTGGTGAAACCTCAATGAGGTCTGAATTGGTGGCCTCATCCTCTTAAATGTAAAATAAATTATAACAATTATATTTGAAAATGTAGTTTTTCCTGTGGAAATTTTAGAAAATGCAAACTAAAATGTGTAATATTATTCCATTAAATATATTCCATTTTAAGGAATATTATTCAGCCTTAAAAAGAAATAAGCCTGCCATGAAAAGACAGGAAGAACCCACAGGTGCATTTCAGTAAGTGAAAGAAACCAAAGTAAAAAGCCTACTAACTCTGTGATTTCAGCTGTATGGCATTTTGGATAAGGCAAAGCTATGGTGGAGTAAAAAATACCAGTGATTGTCAGGGTTTAGAAGGGATGGAGAATCAAGAGGGAGAGCGAGAGAATTTCTAGGGCAGTGAAAATATCCTTTGTGTTACTGAAATGGTGGATATACATCACTATACATTTGTCAAAGCCTGTAGAATGCACCACACCAAGAATGAAGCCCAGGGTGAGCTACGGATGTGGAGTAATAATGTGTCACCCTAGGCTCGTTGACTGGGACAAGTGTGCCATCCTGGTACGAGGTATCAGTAGTGGAAGGTTGTGCGTGTGTAGTGGTAAGGGGTATGTGGGAATTCTCTGTACTCTCTGCTCAGTTTGGCTGTGAACCTACAAATCTGAAGTAAAAACTGTTTTAAAAAATTCAAACACTGCAGAAAAAACAAGCCAAAGTAAAAGTGTAGAATAAAGGTAATTTTGTTAAAAAATTCCTTATACCCAGAAACCAGAGAAAATGTCTTGTGAGATTTGATGTGTACCTTACTTACTGAATTTTGAAAATTTATATTGACTCATTACTATTTCTGATTCATATTCTTCTAATGCATGTTTGTATAAAATGGGATATACAGTATATACTAAAGTTTTTGCATTTTTCACTTCATATATTTTGTCCATCTTTTTTTTTTTTGCTGACTAGATGATCTCTTTCAGAAAATGTTCCTCCTAAAAGCTAGCAGAAGCACATTTTATGTACATTTGAAGAGATTCACAAATTCCCTAGAGCCCATCCGTAAACTTCTAACCATTTTAATAGCCTAATAGTAGTATGAAAAAATGCTAGTCACTATTCTAGACACTAAATATGCAAGACCCCGTCCATGTTGCACTTACACTAGAGAAGCAGGTACAAATTAAGAAAGAAATGTATATGTATCAGGTGATGATAAAATCCATGAAACAGGGTCAGGAAAGAGAGGGTATGGTAAGGTGGTAATGCTGTTAAGAGTTACCGATAAGGGAACACATTTTTCACTGACTCATTAGGGACCTCAGTTCAAAATCATTTTACCCTTGCCGGGGATTTAGCTTAGTGTTTCTGCTGCCTGCCTCACAAGGGCAAGGACCCGAGTTTGATCCCCGGTACCAAAACAACAAAACAAAACAAACAGCAACAGAAGCAGTGAAAATCACTTTCCCTGATAATATTCTAGCCATTGTATCTTCATTTTAAAACTTCTGATATTGTTGGTTCCAATCTCATTCATTTATTTATGCATTATCTGTTATTTTTATTTTATTTTTGTTGATTTGACCTGTCTTTCTTTTCTCCTTTCTGGGAACATTTAGAATTTTCTGGGTTTTTTCTTTTTTCTGTATATCCTTGGCGTTTTGAAATTTCTCCAGGATGTGGCTAAATATGCATTTTTTTGTTGTAATTATGTTTGCCAGTCATTGAGCCTCTTCACCTCTGAATTTTTCAGAACCAGGGAGTTTACCTTTGACATTGTGTGAGATTTTGTTGGAAGAAAAAAGGAAATGCTTGGAGCTGGAAATATAGCTCAGTGGTTAGAGTATGTGCTTGGCCCTGGGTTCTATCCCCAGAACCAAAAAGATGGAAGAGGAAGAAGAGGAAATGTCTTAACTGCCAATTTTATTATTCATTAATACTTACTATATTTTTTGTTGTTGTTGTTGTTTTTGTTTTGTTTTGTACCAGGGATCGAACTGAGGACCTTGCACTTGTGAGGCAGGCTGTGGAACCACTGAGCTAAATCCCTGGCCCCTTCTTTATTTTTTCACCCACAAGTAAAAAGACTTTATTCATTTTTGGGCCACTGCCATTCGGTATTTATATAAACGTTTACACACTTTAGTAAACACAGTCTTACATGTAGTGCAGCGTTATGGGGTGAAAAGACCCGTTAAAGTCTCAAAACTAAACATCAAGAGTCCACTTAATGTCCCACGTGCACAGGCGATTTCCCGTCATTATCCATCCATGTCTCTGGTCATGGATGTCCCTCCCCCCCCTTCTGAGGACCGGTACCTTTCATCGGCTGTACCAGACATGAGCAATCTGAACAGGAACAGGCCACCTACTCTGCTTCGCGACACCACCTCCCCATCTCCGTGCTCTGTTAAATGATCCTGTGTAGAATCTGAGCCATCGCTGCTGTCATCGGCAGCCGGCTCTCCCAGGAGGGCCATGCGAGCATAGTCATCCGTGCCTGTGGACTTGCAGAAGTGGGTGGTTTATTTCAGCTTCTCCTCCAGCACCTGCTGGCAGGAATACCCGGCAACTTCAGCAGGAAGAAAAGTGTAGGATTCTGGAAGGAAGTGGTCAGGAGGGTTGTATTTATCCAACACTGGATGATGGAGTCCCTGCCGCGGAGGTCAGTGATGGTCCTGGGGAGCCGTGTCCGCCCCCGACAAAGCGCAGGAAGAGGGGCTCCATTACCTCCCAGAACCACTGGATCAGGGACCCCTTCTTTTTTTTTTTTTTCTTGTCCCTTCTTTCCTTTTCCCCTCCTCCTTCTCTTGTTCCCCTTCTCATTTGAACATTTTCTTCCTATTTCCCAGTATCATATAGCTTTGGTTTCCCACATGAGAGAAACAATGAGGTATTTAATCGTGTGTTCGTTTTATCTCAGTTGAGAGTATGGTCTCGAGGTATCTATTTAGCTAGAAATGTCTCAAGCTTCTCCTTCTTTATGGCAGAGTAGTGCTCCATTGTATAAAAAGCCTACATTTTCTTTGTCCATTCATCAGTTGATGGGCATTTGGGCTATTTTGATGATGCGGCTGTTACAAAGTGTGCTGCTATAAATATGGGTTTGCATATATCACCGTGGTATGATGCTTTTGAGATTGAAGATTCTTGATTCTGGAGCTACGTAGCATTGTCCTCTCTCCTTTGATGTAGCCGAGAAGCCACGTCACGCTTACTCTCTTTCCAGAACAACCTATTTTTTTAATGTTTTGTATACTTATAAGCTGCTTTCTTGCTCCTTGAAATTAAAAAACTTCATCCTTGAAGTTAAGATATATGAATATGTTCATTTGTCTTTATTTTTATACATACATGGTGAAGAGGGAATACTTGCAGTTAAATTCTCTTTCAGGTTAAGCATATTTTTGGGTTGTTTTTTTTTTTTTTTCTTGAGACAGGGTCTCACTATGTAGTTGAGACTGACCTGGAACTCACTATGTAGCCCTTGCTGGTCTCGAACTCACAGCGATCCTCCTGCCTCAGCCTCCCGAGTGCTGGGATTACAGGCATGTGCCACCACACCTGGCCTGATTAAGCATATTTTTGTCATTTGTGTTACCAAACTGCTGAGGGTTCTTTTGCTCAATTCAGGTAGAAATCACAAATAGGCAGAGTTCAGCTCCCTAGTGTTAGCAGTTCTGAGCTTTGAATGCCAGCAGCTCTCAGCTGTTGTGTTAGTGGCCCTTCTCCCTGATCTCCTGGCAGCCAGAGCGAGCTGCTTACTGGCAACTCTCTAGAAGTTTTCTAGCAACTAGAGTTAGTAGCTCCTGGCAACCCTGTCACTGACCTTCATCGCCACCCTCAGTGTTTCCAGCCCTCTTTCAGTGCCAGCAGCCTTTAGTGTTACCAGCTGTTAGGGTAACCAGCTCAGCGAGATAAAAATCATGAACAGGTAAAGTAAAATGATCTGAAAAAGGTTCTAGGAGGACTTATCCTAGAGCACAGGGGAAGAGTAGGTGTACTGGCCTGATTAGGGTGAGGGGATGTGGCTTGCGTAGACAAAAAAGGACAGGCTCACACACGCACACAGTGTCAAGAGTTTCAGTCAGGGACAAGAGAGGGGTTCCTCCGGGACTGGAGTGGGAGCGTCTGAGGCAGTTGCAAAGGGTCAGAGTCATCTGAGAGGCTGCAAGGCAGTCATCTGGGATGGACCCACAACTAAAGCTTTCTACAGCCAGAACAAAAGTCTCAGCAGGGAGGGGTGGTGCACACCTATACTGCCAGTACTCAAGGCTGAGGCAGGAGGATCGCTGTGAGTTTGAGAACAGCCTGGGCTATATAGTGAGTTCAAGGCCAGTTTGAATTACATAATGAGACTGTGTCTCAAAAAACAAAAACAAAGAAACAAAAATTACACAAGTCTCCAAGCAGCTACAAAGCATTTGGCGCATTCATGACTACGCAAAAAAAAAGTGGAAAAGAAAAGAAAGATGAGAGAGAGAGAGAGAGAGAGAGAGAGAACACCTCTTGGAGGATGTTAGGCCCTTCTCTCTCCTTCATGATTTAATGTTTTTCTCATAATTTTACTTTTTTAAATTCCTCTGAGTCCCTTCCTCTGGATTCTTCCAGTTGATCTTTTAATTGACTGACGTAGTTTTTCATGGTCTCTAGCCTGATACTATGTTGCCTGCATCTCCATGGAGAGTTTTTATTTTGACTGTCATACTTTTCATCTTTGGAAACATGTTCTCATTCTCAAAGCGTCGTCCTTCCCACACAGGAAATAAATTCTGTGACTGTGCTGAGCGTGCTAAGAGCTCCGGCTGGAGCACAGATCTTCACTATCTTCAGGGAGTCCGCACCAGAGAGAAATCATTCACATGTGACTCGTGACACAGAGGCTTCAGTTACAACACCAATCTGCACTCGCGAGAGCGTCCACACTGGAGAGAAAGCTTTTGTGTGTGATGCACGTGGCAAAGGCTTCAGGTACAACCCCAGTCTCCAAATTCATGAGAAGATCATGCAGGGGAGGAGCCGGCGGAGTTCCCACCTTCACCTGAGGTCCACACGAGGGAAGCTGTTTGCAATGAAATTCTTGAAACACAAATCTTGGCGCTCATCAGGAAGTCCACACGGGAGAGAGACCGGTCACCGTGAGGAGAGTGAGGGCTTCCCTCAGAGCTCCGGTCTTCAGTCATCAGGCCGCCCAACAAGTGGCGTGGGTGGTGAGGGCTCCAGCCACAGATGTCTGAGTTACAGAATAAGAACTCGTTAAATGCCGTACTTGAGACAAGGGCTTCACTTACAGCAAAACCCTTCATGTTCACAAGCATCCACATCGGGTGCAGAGGCTAAGTACGCTGGAGTCTTCGCATCTTTCCACGTCGACACGGGAGAGAAGGCCGGCTAGTGTGGCGTGTGGTGTGTGGCGTGTGGCGAGAACGTCTCCTGGGGCACGCGGCGCCCCTTCTACCAACGAGCCTGTTACTCAAGACAGCTCCATGAGAGTGTTTTGTTTTGCTTTCTTTTTCCGGTACCAGGATCAAACTGGGAAGGCAGGCGCAGCTCCTCTGAGCTAAATCTCTGGCCCACCTGTGAGTGTTTTGCCCGCCTGTGTCTTCAGCTCCTAACTCAGCACCTGGCACAGAGTGGCCGCTCCATAGGTGTGGGTGAGGGTCCGCGTGTGAGAGAATCCCCGTTCACGTGATGTGCATGGTAAGGGCTTCAGAGTCCACACCTTTCACTTCTTTTTTTTTTTTTTTTTTTTTTTAAATAAAACACCTGCTGTGTAGTAAAGATCTCAGTCAGATCAGTTTTCATCATAAGTTTACCCTGAAGAAGAGAAGCCTTGTTAACATAATGAATAGAGTAACGCACTTAATCAGACAAAAATGGTCAAATTATTAAATCAGTATAGTAAATTTAAAATATGTATCTTCAACACAAGGCAATCCACAATCCTTAACACTGTGCCAATTATAAATGTATTTTTGGTCTTCTAAATTAAAGCATGTATCTAATTACCATCTATGTTAAAAAAAAAATCCTATGAATACCCTAAATGAAATTCTGTGTCATCCCTGGAGTGACTATCGTAACACAAGATTGACTCAGTGAGAATCTGGTAGTAGTAGCTATTTTGTTTCATACTTCATCTCAAAAAGACACGTGAAGACTTGACAAATGAGTTATCTGTGACCAGTGACTAACAAGGTTTTCCTGCTGGGAAAGAGACCCTTTGCCTAGCAGAACGCCCTTTCAGGATAAAAGCCTCCTGACCCTACGTTGTTGTTATGTCACCAGGCTGCTGGATGCGTCTCACAGGAGATTGTAGAAGTCACCAGATGAGGCGTGTGCAGGGTAAGTGTCCACGAAAGAGTTAGCTAAGGAAAGAGGCTGCAGCCAGGTCTAAGGAAGGAGCAGGGGAGAGAGAGCAAGTGTGAAGGGAAATGAATAGCGAGGAGAGAGAGCCCTGAGGAGCTGACTGGGCGGGTAGAAAGGACACGAGGGTGCTCGGAGGTCTCTGCAGACTCTCCCAGTGCAGGGCTGTCCCAGGAAGGCTGTGCTAACCAGAGTGTGGTCTGTGGTGAGCAGAGATGAGCCCCACGCCTGTGAGGACCGTCGGAGACCAGAAACAAAGGAGCTGTGGTGGGGCCCCGGGTGGAGGCTGCCCGCTCCTGCATTTCCCAGGTGGCCCAGGTCCGGGGGACGTTACCCCTCTGCATTTATCTGTGATTGGCTTATTTCACTGAGCAGAATATCCCCGGGTTTCATCCGTGTTGTAGCATGTGTCAGAATTTCCTTTTTGCGGCTGAGTAAAATTCCATTTTATGGATACACAACGTTTTGCTTATCCACTCATCTGTCGACAGATCCAAGGATTGCTTCTACATTTTAGTTCCTGGGAACCACTGTACCACGGACGCAGATGTACCAACATCTCTCCAGGACCCCACTTTTCATTCTTTTGAGTATACGCCTAGAAAGGGAACAGCTGGATCCTATTTTCAGTACTTTGAGGAGTCACTGTACCATTTCCCGTGGTGGCTGTACCTCTTTGTGGTCATTTCAGTTTCTCTCCATCCTTGTAATACTTGTCATTTTCTGTTTTTATTGCTTTGTCTATTTGAGATGGGTTCTTGCTGTGTTGTCTGGATGGCCTTGAACTCCTGGGCTTAGTGCTCTGTCCAACCTTTGCTGCAGGTTGGACATATCAAAATGGCCTAGACCACGTTGAGTGAAGAATAATTGTCTTGGGTTTCGTATGAAATACATAATGGTTGCTGTCTGTAATTAACAGAACTTCTTCTTTATATTTTTATTACAACATTTTTATTTATTTATTTTTGAGACAGGGTCTCACTATGTAGTTGAGAGTAGTTGAGACAGACCTGGAACTCACTGTGTAGCCCAGGCTGATCTCGAACTCACAGCGATCCTCCTGCCTCAGCCTCCCGAGTGCTGGGATTACAGGCGTGCACCACCACACCCGGCTGATTACAACATTTTTAAAAAGACAAGTGGCCCACAGGTTACAGGTCGCAACATTCCCCTGCCTCACTCTTGAGTAGCTGGGACTATAGTCATGTGCTACCACCACTGGCTTTATTTTCCTTTTTTTTTTAATAGTAGGTATCTTAGTGGGTGTGAGGTAGTATCTCATTGAGTGTAATTTTGATTTGCATTTCCTAGTCATGAGTTATGCTGAGTGCTTTTTATGTATTTATTAGGATTTGTATATCTCATTTGGAGAACCGTCTAAGACTTTTTCCTACTTTTAAATTGGGTTGTTTTTACTGTTGTTGAGTTTTAAGGTTCCAGACATATTTTGGATATCAATCCTTTACTAGATATATGGCTTGGAAATATTTTCTCCTGTTCCATGGATTGCCTTTTTACTCTGCTGATGGTGCCTTTTTGCGGACTTTTTTTTTTTTTACATGAAGTTTGTCTCTCTTTTTTTTTCCGTCTTGGGGATGATTGAACCAAGGGCCTCATATATGGTAGGCAGCACTGAAGGGTCACCCTAACTCTTGATTGATTTTGTTTTCTTTTTTTGCCTGTGCTCTTAGTGTTACATCCGTGAAATCATTGCCAAATCCAGTGTCACAAAGCATTTTGTCCTATGTTCTCTTCTAAGAGTTTTATAGTGTGGGGTCTTATTTTAGTTACTATTTAAATGTGGTATGTGTGGGCTGGAGATTTAGCTCAGTGGTTCCGGTGCCTGCCTCACAAGCGCAAGGGCCCAAGTTCGATCCCTGGTACCAAAAAAACAAAACAAAAAAAATGGCATGTGTTAGCTTTTCTTACTCTAAGATAAACAGCTATGAGATAAGCAGTTTATTAGGAGAAAAGGACTATTTTGGCCTGCAGCTTTAGAAGTCCTAATCCATGATCAGTTGACCTGTTGCTTTGGACCTGTGACCACATCTCATATTATGATAGGAGTTCACAGTGAAGCAAAACTGTTCGTCTCATAACCAGGAAGCAAAAGGAAAGAGGAAGTGGTTGGTCTGGCGCTCACAATCCCCTTCACGACAGGACCTAAATGGTCTACAGGCCTTTCAGTAGGTTCTTCCTCTTAAAGTTCCACTAAGCCTGCCAGTGATGCCACCCTGGGAACCAGACCTTCCACATACGGGCCTTTGAGTACCATTCAGGATCCAAACTATCACATGGTGTTAAGTAAGGGTCCAGCTTCATTCCTTTGCAGTGGACAGTGTCCCCAGCACCTTTTGTTAAAAAGAGTAGTCTATTTCCATTGAATTGTCTTGGCACCCTTGTCGAAAATCATTTGACCATGTTTGTGAGAGTTCATTTCTAAGCATTTTATTCCCTTTTCCTTTTTTTGTGTGTGCTAGAGATTTGACCTAGAGCTTTGAAAGATGCTAAGCATGTGCTCTGCCATTGAGCTCTACCTCATCCCCTGTTGCCCTTCTTCAAATACTCTCTTCCCTTGGGTTCGACACATTCCAAGCTCTTGGATTTCCCCATTGCCTAGAGCTGCCTACCTCCATTGTGGGCTTCTTTTAGTCTGTCATGGGCCATGAATGCTGTTTCTGGGTCATCGATACTGTCTCTTCTCACTCTACATACTACCTGAAGATTGCATTTCTGCAGATGTCTCTCATGGCAACCATAACTCAGATCTCTCTCCTGTGCTTCTGGCAGACAACTCAAATGCCAACTTGATGTCCTGCAGTGCACTTCATTCTAAATCGGTCTAAACAAGAACCTGTTACGTTCTCATTCCTTTTCCTCTCAAAAGCCTGTTCTTTCGATACCCACTCCCATCTGTCCTGTTTCCTGAACCAGAAACTTGCCGTCTTCCTATACCTCACTGTTATATCCAGTGAGTCAGCAAGCCCTGCCCATTCTACCTCTTAATTTTTCTCAAATTGGCTTCTTCATCCCCATTCTCTGGCCCAATTAAGGCCACCCTACAACTTTTCTTTCTTGATTTGGTCCAACAGCTTCTGAACGTCTTGCATCTCCTTCAGCATATTCGGCATACTGGAGTCGGAGTGTTGTTTCTAAGATACGGTTCTAGCACTGTCTTCCTTTTTCTCAAAAACTTTCATAGAAAAAAAACTACGTTAAGGTGACTTATAAAGTCCCTCCAGGAAAGGCTATGGCTCAGAAACCTAGACTCATCTCTTGCCAGAAACTCCCTAAAACCCCACTCATACTGGATTTTAAGCTCCGTTTGTCCTCTCTTGCACCATCTTGCCACCAGGGGCTCTTCAGTGCTATTTCTTTCCCCTGGATATGCCACCATGACAACCCCATCTCTGTCCTCAGCTAATTTCCATTCTTACAGAGTGTACCCCAGAAGTCTCTTTCTCTTTCCTGAGCCACCAAGCGTGTCACTGGCACCCTGCGCTTTCCCTGTCAGCACTGCCCTCCTTCACTGAACCTGACCTCCCTGCCCTGTGAGCTTGTTTTAGACAATGGTGGGCAAGGTGTGGGAGTGTCTACTGCACTGAACAGGAGGAGGCTCGAAGCTCCCTTGACCCCTTCCTGTGCCTCCAGACCTCCTTCCCTCAGCCCCTTAGCTTCTAACATTGCTTGATGAGGGTGTCAATATTAGTGTTTTATTTCCTGTTCCTACTTAATTATTTTTATTTTTAATTGATACAAAATAACTATGTGGTACAGTGATATATATATATATATATATATATATACACATATACAGATATATATGTCATAATGATCAAATCAGGGTAGTTAGCATTTCCATTTCCTTAAATATTTATCATTTTTTCTGATGGGAAACTTCAAACATAAAAAATAACAAATGATAAACTGGAGCGCCCTGCCTCAGTGACCGCTCCGATCCACCTGGTCCTCTTGCCTCTTTCCCAGACTGTCTCCCTCCTTTCGCCGGTCTCTCTCCAGCCCATCTCCCCGCCTGGTCCGCCCTTCTCCCACCACCTGCCTTCCTCCTCTCCCTTTTACTCGCCGCCCTTATGACTTGCTCCCCTCTTCTCCCATGTGCCTCCTTTACCCCTGCCCCTCCACCCCAGCCCGCTTGCTCCTCAAGCCGCAGACCCTGGGCCCAGACAGCCCCTCCTCCTGCAGGCCATCTGCCCCGACACTGGGCCGATGATTCCCACACTTCCTCATGGGGCCTTCAGTTCCCTGTCCGTGGGGCACCCGGCTGATCCCAGAGCGCCTAGGGATGTGATGCCCGGCACCCTGGTGACCTGGTGAACATGGAGGACGCTAGACGATGATCCACCTTCTTCAGTGAAGGGTCTCTTTCCTGCTGTTTGGGACCATGTCTTGAATCTAGTGCCTACCTCCATTCTCATTCCTTACTGCAAATAAGAATGAGGACTCACTACTTTTGTGTAAGGGACTCCATGGAGAGAGAAGCTGAGGGAAAATCACAGGTGGAGCCTGAATTCTGATCACCCCTACTGACCTCATTGCTTAAGTCAGACATTCTGAGACACACAGAAATACAGCAGGACACAAAGAGGCACCGTAACCCTGCAGAGAGGGAAGCCTGAAGTGCACGGCAGCTTTCGCCTGAGGGTGCTATGAATGCAGTTCTTTACTCACTTTTGGCCCATTTCCCAATTCTGCTTGCCTCATTAAAAACAGCAACAACAACAACCACCAAAAAAAACCCCTCAAAACATTTTGATATATGTGTAGCATTTGGCTTGGTTTTTGTTGTTGTTGTTGTTATTGTTGTTTTTTGGTACCGGGGATTGAACTCGGGTTCTTGTGCTTGCAAGGCAGGTGGTGGAACCGCTGAGCTACATCCCTGGCCCTGTTGTTGTGTTGTTTTGTTGTTTCAGTACTGAGGATTGAACCAAGGGCATTTGCTACAAGTCTAGTCCTTTTAT